AGATTCCTGTAGGTAATTGGCGAGTCGAATAATTCAAATTTTCTCGCGTGCTCGACGAGATATGTGTTGCTAGAATCCTTTCAGTGTATCGTTCGAGTCGCTTGGAAGCCGATACGGTTAAGTCCAGAAAAGAATCGAGAAGATTAATGTTTCGGATTCTGAAATGACTATACAACACACTCGGAAGATATAGCTTTCTGATCTAGGAAAATGAAGGAACGAGTAAATCATTTGATAACTGAAGAGAATATTATTTATTTCATTTCTGAGCGACTCATTTAATGGTACTGGTATTGGCTAATGAGGAAATATTGTACGCGAAGTTGCATCGAAGTGGAGTTGAAATTAGTAATTACGTGAGTTATCGGTGTTAATTGATATCGGTAGTTATTACGGTTTCTTTTTTAAGTTTGTAGTTATAGAGATTGTGTTGCATTTATCGACCAACGGCGGAACATTTAAATCATCGATTCGTTAAAGAATTTTTCACCGACTGTCGATCCGGTGATGTGCGTTCCGAGCGCATTCAATTAAACGCACCCAGTCATTTGAACAGCCACTAAAACTCAGAAACTCTAACAACGATACACGCCGCATTATCGTTAATTACCGATTACCCAGCACTTAACTAAAAGTTGATTCCACATCGCCGGCGTTACACGGTAATTACCAATTTTGCTGAACACCGCGACGAATAGAATGGTAACGCGACGTTACGATACTGCGTACTTACCGAGTATCGAAGTCTACCGCGTGGCTAATTGAAATCATTGTAAACTGCGAGGTGAACTAGAGCAGAGAGTATAATATAACGCGAGCGTGAAATTATTTGGCTAAAAACTGCACGGTTTTCAGCAGTTAATCCCGTTTAATTAGAGAAACGATAGCCCGACCGCGGCTGACGGGACAAATAATGTTGCACGGATGTGTACTGTTCACCGTGGAATTTATGAAATCATTAACGGAATTTTCATTCATTACCGCGTGGCACCTGCAACGCGATCCGTTCGCGCGAGTTTTTGGACGAAAGTCCGTGCGTTTCTGTTCACTGACTGTGAAAGAATTAACGAAACGTTTGCTACACGTGTTAATGTAACGTAACACAGATTTACGAGACAGCAGATTGCGCTCGGAGTCGAACAAATAAATTAAACGGAATATTGTTGCGTTATCACTTAACATGGAAACAATCTATAAGTTATTCATTTCACCGAATATTTATGAAGTTTACTCGGCTATCAAGCATTCGCTCATTCTAATCTAGTAACTACATCGAATTCAATAAACGGAACACAACGAAATGATATTCAACGAAGAGAATGTACGGAAAAAGGTATGAAATTTCCTGTAACTTTCCCAGAAACGATTTCTATATTGCTCCCGTTTCTGGCCTGACAAAAAAAAAATATATACTGTCAGACGTCGAGTAAGGTATTCCGGAGATTTAAAGCTTCAAAGTTCACTAACCATGAATTCCCGAGCAGCGCGGCGCGCATGAATCCTCCATTTTCCAACGCGTCACGACAGTTATCAATTTCATTTTCCGCCGACGGAAACGCGGCGGCCGCCTCGCGATTACTTCAATTCGAAAACTGCAAATTAAATTCATAAATATTCATTAAAAAATCTGCCGGTTATAATCGGCGCCACGAGCAGAAGCGTTAAAATAAATATCCGTTCTCCGGCGTACGATAATGGGATCGCGTCCCATGAAACTTTAACGCCGGATTTCGACCGTTGTTACGGGAGAAACAAAATCCGCGAAAAATCCAACGATAAAAACACGGCCGGGAAGAGTAATCTAAAGTAGAGGGGCGTATATAAAATTAACAGATCGTGTTTTCTATGTAAATTTGATACATGCCGACGGGAAGCTGATATATCATTTCCCATGCATATTCATAACGCGAATTCACGCGCGTCGCGGATATTTGTTTCGCGGCGAGGCCGCTGACATTGATCCTCCGATTTTCTGAATTTTTTAAATCCCGCTGTCTCTGACAGTCGTTTTATTGAATAGTAAATGCGCCTCGCGATCGCTCCGCACGAAGTTGACGAGAAATTCCGTGAAGTTGATTCGAAAGATATTTCGAAAATTGGCAAAACATGTCTTCAGCTTCTATGTATTTGCGAATAATTGTTTCAATGAAGTTCGTTAATAATAATAAGGACACAAACGTGTACGGTCGACGTATAGAAAAATTAGATGTGAATATTTGATGTTCGGAAACTAGTTCGAAATAAATTTTCGAAAAATTGAGGATACAGAAACGATTCAAAATGATTTGCCAGAAAGTTTGCCGAGCGTGCGGTCTACTTTCAATACTGCTTGCGAGACAATGTAATTCCTGGCGACCAACTAATGAGACAAGGAGAAATGATTTACATCGATTCTAGCTTTCTATTCGGCTTTCACGGTTCGCTTTTGTTCGTCTTTTCTCTCGTACCTTATAAAACACACAACATTGTATTATTCATAAACTAATTAAATTGTTGTTCATTCGTTCAGTCTCATTCCACTTAATTCCTACCTTCCTGCCCCAAAGTTGCCGAGTTTTCGTTTCACGCTAACGAATTTTCGAATACGCTCGACATCCTACGAATTAGTAAAATTAATAGGACTTTTATTAAAGCCGGCTATTCCCCTAATGAACGGTAATTGCAAATTTCAACTGACCTGAAACGTCTGCAGAAAACTCCGGTTTTCCAGAATTCTGTACTCCCGGCTAAACGATGTTGCACTGATTAATACACTTTTGGCGTACACCTTGTTAACCATTGTTGCATCGACTTTCAAGTGCATAAATTTCACTAGCAAGCGGATAGAATTCAACGGAATGAAATGCACGCAATTCGAACCGAAAGTTACAGAAATATTTTTCAGTAGAGCATCTCGATTTCCTTGTTAAGGAATTTTTCACGTATCCCATGTAATTTTAATGATTCCTAATTCCAGCGAATTCGTGTTCGCGGATGAAACACAGTGAAAGTCGCCTAGGAACCCGAGCCACGTAACCCGAGGTGTCAATTTCCACCCCATTAATTCCTACGCTGGGACGATTCGCGAGAAGCTCTCCGCTGGGCGAACAAAGGATCCCGATAGACGCGGAATCGTGGGTGGATTCGAAAATAAACACGCTTTCACGCGTGGATCGGGCTCGTGGGTGAACCGTGGAGATCAGCGATGGCGGCCGCGCCGGAGACAAACCGCACTCGCGATCGCGTCCCTATAAATCACAGCTAACTTACGCGCTGAACGCGATAAATGCGTAATTAACCGCGCGTGTCAGGGACTATTTAAATCTTTATGGGCATAGGAACGTCGATCGGAACGCCCGCCCCGTTTGATCTCAAGCGGCGCGCAAATATTTGTTGCGACGCGTTCGATGCCCTCGCGCGTTCCCCGGCCACTATAACAATAAATTATATTTTACCGGAGCGCGACGTATTTACTTCCTTGTACGACGACGATTGAATATAAATCCGAGCGGCGAATCAAATTTTATGGTCCCCCGAATAACCTCCGCGCGGACGACTTGTTACAAATTCCATTCTCTCCTGTGGCTGTACTTCAAGCGTGTGGTAGTTCGAAATTGGAGAAATAGGTACACCAACGTAATACTTTTTATCGAATCAGTTGATGTTCTTGCTGATCATTTTTACAAACGAGAATTCACGTGTATTTACTGTTCTCGTGATGGTATATTAGAGAATCTTCTAATACTCTTACTTTACTTTTGGAATACCTAATTTCCATAGTATATAAAATATCACTTACCTGTAATTCTATGCGAGAGCATGGTCACCAGAGGATCAAACTGAGAATCGTCGAGTCTCGTTTCAGACGTATTACCAAAATTGACGAAACAGATGAAACCTGAACGAGACGCTCCCAGAAATATCGTTTCAATCGTCTCGAGCATGAAATAAGCTTTTCCCGGGGAATAATTCCCCGGGATTTTTGTCTGGCCAGAGGAAAAAGGCGTGCAAACGATCTCAATCCTATGATTCATCCTCCATATTGTCAGGGGAACGCATCCGGAAAGGAATAAGAGGATCAGGCGGATACGTAACAACACCGATATAGTCTTGAGAATAAATTAATATATTTGAAATGAA